CCCAAAGGTAGTGATTTTCGGAATCAGCGTGTCGAGAAGGCCCTGCACACCAAATTTGGGGGCAATCGAGATGACCCGCAATATCCAATTGGCAATTGGATATTAATCTGCTGCTAGATTGACAGCTGCTTGGTGCTTCATGTCAGAGCGTTGCGATCAGTTGCCATGACTACGCCTTGTACGAGAGATCTCCCGTGCAGTTTGTCTTGAACGATTGGTAGCATTTAAAATCTTCAGTCTGAACATTTTGTTATGCATATGTGTACAACCCTTAAGTAAAAAACACTTGACTGTAGCATCACAAGGCTAATATAGCGTTTTACTGTACTTACCTTACTGTACTCACATCACTGTGATAAGAAGAGTGAAAGCTATTACAAATCAATATTGCAAATGTTCATATAATCATACCTATAGACAGAACAAATTATGCAAGTTGAGCTGTTCAACTCAAACAAGTCAAATGAAAATACGATAGCGAGCTCCCGAGCGCCGCACACACCCCACCACACCGCCTCGACTCCCCAGCGCCGTTTCTGCGTTATTGCGTAAGTACAATATTTCTGCTTGTCAAGAACGATAGAAGTATACGTGACAAAAGTAACAATAATAATGCAATGAAAATCGTTTCTTATCGCGTGTAGGTACGTTTACGAAACAAACAGGCCAGAATAGTCCAGAACATAGCCCAAACTAACCTAACCTAACCTAACCTAACCTAACCTAACCTAACCTAACCTAACCTAACCAAACCAAACCTTATCAATTGATGCTGCTTGATGCGCAGTAATGTTGTGATCGCGCGCAGTAATGGCGCTGGTGTCGCGGCTGCTGTGTGTTTGCGGCGGTCGGATGTTCGGTATCGTAATTAGGTAAGTCCCAAGGTAAGAGTATAGACGACCTGTTTTACGATTAATTATGATATGTTCTGCCTTAAAAACAACGATGGATGTACAATGTAGCATGAGATAACTGTATGCTCAACTGTATGGTAAACAAATGCTCTTTTGCAACATGAGGTAGGAAAGTACACCCTCACCTAAGTGAAAAATAGAACAGGAATGAGTCATGAGCTGAATCAGATCCTAAATCATGTGAGCCATTCCTTAGGTGACTCAATAAATTTGAGCCAAACCCATGCCTACTGCAAACCACTACGGCCCAAAAACCATGTTCCATCATCCACACTACCCGCAAGACGATATACCCCAAGGCCGGTAGTCCAGGATATATAAATATCATACTCATCCCGTAGAAAATACTGATTTGTAAACTAGGTACAAGTGTTTCTCCGGGCACGTTCCCTTGCTTCTTGCCCACGCCCCCTGCTGACCAACAATCGGCCGACTGCGTCCTCGAAGCAACTCGCAATCAAATGAGAATTGGGATGTCAAAATGGTGAAGGTTTTCCACTCCCATAGAACGAAAAGAAATTCACGAGGTTAACCTCTAAAATAGCCTTATTTCCGATGTGGAGCCTTGGGTTACGGGACTGCGTTGTTTAATATCTATGCGTGTTAAACTCCGCCAGTTTTAGCACAAATCGGTACTAAACACGGCTCCCCTCTTAGTAAGGATCCGTATTAACAAGGCTCGAGGATGTGTTGATCCGTGCCACTGACGTCATCAAATATGGGGTGTATGACGTCATGGAGCCTTTGTGTCCAAACTACCTCCTTTCCCAAGCAGCTCATGTCGCAACTTTTCGATAGTGTTAAACGATACGGATGACACCCCTCTACCCTGGCCGACAGCAAATAATCGAGATGTTTTGTTTTTTATAAGCTGCAAACAGCATAAATTCCATGTTTTATTGTTAAGAGCACCGCAGTATCAACAAACGAAATTCTTCGTGTCTGCAGGTGCAGCTGTTGTCGCAACAATTACAAAGATGTCAACAGAAAACGTGTTGCACCGCGAACACGTCCGGCAAAGATTCTACGTAACGCCATGTCGAATATAGCATTCTTGGTTCATTGCGAATACACCCTTCGTCTGCCTTCCGAGTTTGGTCGCCTCGCTCCCTTCCGACTTCCGAGGTCCGACTAACAGAACGCGGGGCGTGCCATGCGCTACCGCTTGATTTGAAACCGCACAGTGGTCCCTCCATCCAGCCCATGCACCAGATTGTGCCATCTGTATCACCATCTGTCCGCGCGTTTTGGGGCAGCATTTTCGGGATCTCTGACACAAGGAGATAGGCGCACGGGCAGACATCGCATTGTAATCTTTTCGGAGCGACCCATGGTTTATAGAGGGAGCGGCCTACACACAGCCTCAGGAAGTTGCCTGCCTACTTGAAATCTTGGTTTCTTACGCTGCGCGAAGATACGACGCCGTTGCACTAAGCTGCCATTATGTCTGAGCAGCAAAAATTGCATTTTCCACTGCTTCGAGTACAGTTCGGATGCATCACTTTTAATGCAGAATTTACCGGAGCGGCAGGAGCGGGTGATCGAGCAGTTTTAAATTAGTTTAGGTATGCTTTTAAACCCATGAACACAACGGCTTAAATCGCGCGCGAGCACGGGTGCGCGCGATGTTCTGTGCAATGTTGAAGCGCGTTTACGAGAGCACCTTTCGGGTAGAACACCATTTCTATCCATGGTGTGAGAGCTGATAATACGCCAGCTTTCGTACTTTTATTGTCATGAGAGTCACATGTAAAATGTATGATTTTGAACGTGACACGCACATCAAGAATAATTGGCAAATTACCTTTCATCAGCCCAGTTGCCAACTACATCATGTTCAGCATGTTCCTCGCGCCAGACAAAGAGCGAAACGTCCTGAGCTCTGCCAAGGGAGGATCGAAGCAGTGAAAATGTGCGACATTGGCATACAAAGTTGCGTATTTAAGATTTAGTTCGATATTAAAACAATTGGACTGTTGATAAATGCTAATAAAACCATGACCAAATAGTCGCAGTCTCACGTCCGTCCGTATAATCGCAGTGTCTACCCGCTAAATACCAAAACATGCCCCCGCCTTGCGCGCTGTGGGCGACAAAAATCGGACGGGCGATAATTTATTTCGTGGATCTTCATTGACGTTAAACCTGTACACATTGGAAGACATACACATCGTCTGTACACATTGGAAGACTATCCCTGCCACCGTATGTGCTGTGCATCTGTGAAAAATGGTGCATACATAGGGAGTCGGACGGTCTGACACACACGCACGCACGCACACACACACACACACGCACACGCACACGCACACGCACACGCGCACGCGCACGCGCACGCGCACGCGCACGCGCACGCGCACGCGCACGCGCACGCGCACACGCACACACACACACACACACACACACACACACACACACACACACACACACACACACACACACACACACACACACACACACACACACACACACACACATATATATATATATATATATATATATATATATATATATATATATATATATATATATATCTGCTCCCCATTACTACCGCACCGTTACTCAAGAACAGGCGGCCAGGAGTACCCTTCCTTCCATCCCAGCGACGCAACAATCCGTTCGTTTACACCAAAAAAGCAGCAAATAAAGTTGCGGGACTCCCAGCTAAGAAGTGGAAACAAACGCAAAGAAAGACTAGGAGGTGGTGCAGATCCGGCAGGATACGTGTCATGCAAAAGACAAGGGCAAATCTTACAGGAGTAGGCTTTAAGTGGTCATGCCAAAGGCAGCTGACAGTCCACTTAAAAAAACACACGATAAACTAATAAAATAAATACAAGTTTGAGGTACATTTCGTCATTAAAAGGCTTTCGCTTTGAAAACTCAGTCACACCGAACATCGCCCTCGTTCTTCATCCGCGGGAGCACCACTTCATCAACATATCTGCCGTAAAAAATGATACTACGATTTTGGTTTGGTTCGCTGCAGCCCCATCGGTCAAGGTCTGACCATCTCAGGAAAATGAGATTATGAAGCGGGGTACGTGGGGGGGGGGGGGGGGAGGGCAGTGCTGTGGACATCGTCGGACGTCGCCGCTGCCGCACCTTGCCCGCAGACATCCAACTTTTGGGGTTAACAGGCTAAGCAAACCACGAAGATGTAACTGACCCTCTACGGTGATCTCACCGAGTGTTACCCGGTTGCCAGGGACGCACCACTGCCTATGTCCCAACTTGTTTAGTGGGCTCCCATGCTCCCGTCGTGGTGAATACGCGCTACTCTCCCACTATTGTGGTGAACGATCTGTAAGATGCACATCGGATGATGCTACATTCTCATGATGCAGTCAACGCGTCTGAGTCCCAAATCTAAATGACTCATATGGATCGGCCGTATTCGCAGTTGGGCTACCATAGACGAAATAAACCAAATCACCAGACGACATGCGTGTATTTCGACGATCACGTATTGTTACGAACGGTAGAGTCACTGCATGTTGCCGCGTGTATTTGTAGTGCGTATTTCTCGTCTCATCAGAAAAAGACCAGAGCATGCCTGCGCCCGGCTCCAGCCAGTCGGAGTCTACAGACGGGTGATGTAGAGTCGCTCGCTGTTCAAACAGCCGGGCAGAACGGCGCCGTGAGCAGGGGCAAAGCTCGAAACGCGGCCAGTTCTCCAGCCCACAAGACGTTCGATGCGTCCCGAGGGGTTCGAGCTGCCCCAAGTCGCGCAGTGACGGACGAGGGTGAGACCATTTCAGCACGCACATCATGGAGCTCAGTCATTGCTGCTTGGCGACACAAGATAAAGAAATACATAGAAAATGTTTCTCTCAACACCGAAGTTGACTCAGCCTGTCCTAATGTGTTGTTTGATGGTTCAACATTAGTGGCGTTACACCACCCCAGTCAGCCCATCACTTAGCTGCCCAATGTTTGGTTGCGTCCAGTGCAGGTGAGGCGCTCCGTCGGTGCTGGCTGCTGCTCACGGCGGTCTCGCATCATCAGGTCGACCAACCAATGGGCGGGCAACGCTCGAGATAAGATGAAGGGTATGGCGAAGCGCAGGCTTTCGCACAGACAAACGAACCTACCGTTTTTCTTTTATTGGAATGCCAATACAGGGGCCCGTAAATCATGAGGGAAGCAACGTGACTTTAGAGCCTGACCAGTACGATATGTTGCACCCCAAAACACCCAGATAGCAATCTATGCACGAGTAATATCGATACACAGCGTGACGCGTCCGTCAGACTTACAAAAAATCACAAGCGTCCATTGATGATGCAACCGACAGAAATAATTCAATGGTCTTAGCTGATCTGCGGTGCGCAAACAAAGCAGACAGAGACAGTCGTCGGCGTCGGCGAGGTCCCGTGTCGCACAGGGCGCGGACGGGGCGCCGCCGGCCACCGTGTTGGGGAAGGTCACAGAGGCTGGGTGACGGTGACGAACGAGCCGGCCGAGAGGCGGCGCCACCGACACTGGAATGGCGCCACGGCGCGCGCGGGCGCGCGGCCGGCGCTACTGGTCGTCCTCCAGGGTGTGCGTCACCTTGGAGAAGTCGAAGTCGCAGCCGAAGCCGCGCCGGAAGATGTCCAGCACGTCCAGGCAGGTGGTCTCGAAGTGGCTGGTGGCGTCGTACGAGCTGGAGATGAAGACCTGCGAGTCGGTGCCGTCGTCGGTCGGCACGTAGTGGTCAGACACCGTCAGGAACCTGGCCAGGCGGGGGAACGCGGTCAGACCGGCGGTGGCGAGGCCACCTCAGGCGGCGGTCAGCAGGGGCGCGGCGGGCCGGGCCGCGGCGGCTCCTCCTCCCGGGCACCCACTCTGGTCACATCAAGCGAACTTAACCCGCGGTCCGCTAATGCATTTGCAGATGAGCTTTGAGCACAAATCCTTCTGGTGACAGACAGCACTTCACATCCCTCTGCATCTCCTGGGTCCGTGGAGACTCAGAATTCTATTGACCTACCCCCCCCCCCCCTCGCTCGGATCTCAGAATGTATTGGAACGATCTGCTCGCAAGTCTTCTCAAGCGAATTTCAAATCTGCCAATCTACTTGAACACATCGCTACCCCCGTCACCTGAGGACGTCAATCCTGCCAATTACACTTTCTGCGCCGAACTATTATTAGTTCCACATTGACAACCGACAACAAAAATGCATTGAATTCCTGTAGCATGGCACCGACAGCTAAAAGGATTGCTATTTTAAGATACATGTAAGACAAGGTTCGGAGGTCGCCAAGTCTCAAGGCTTTCTGGGAGCCTCTGACGGACGTTTTCAACCCCTCATAGATATAGTGCTAAACCAGCTTAACTCAAAGAGCTCGGTGTGTCAGCCAGACTAAAACTCCGCAATTTTCAGAATGGCATTCACCGCCGTGTGTTTCGACTTAACAAAATCTTAATCGCAAAAGAATACAACAAAATCGCGCTCATTCCTGCCGGCTCCAGTGCGCGAAGGCGGCCAGGCCCCGATACGAGGAGAACGCGTACTTCCGCTTGACGGGTCCCAGCAGGTCCAGGCCTGGTTTGATCTCGGCCTCCGGGTTGTCCGTCTCGACAGTTGTGGAGACCATGGCTACGAACCAGCCCTTGGCCGCCACCTGGTGTGTATAGGACACCAGCGATATGTAGATATCTGCGGACGGACCAATCACAGCCATTAGAACAAGTGTGATTCCAGTCAGCAGTCATCAGGCACGGCTGGAATCTGTGCGTGCGTGCGTGCGTGCGTGCGTGCGTGCGTGCGTGCGTGCGTGCGTGCGTGCGTGCGTGCGCGCGTGTGTGTGCGTGTGTGTGCGTGCGTGTGTGTGTGTGTGTGTGTAGGTGACAATGTGAAGGCAGGACTCACAATCAAACCCGCGACCCCTGCGCGATGACGTCAAAGAAACAAACAAACAGCAGACAAATATTTGTGGGCGGCGTGCAACAACAAAGGCGCGGCCGGCACCGCGAGCGGCGTATTTTCGGCGGTGGTCTGGCGTCCGGAGCAGGGGCGGCCGGCCGGACCTACCAGAGTTCCGGTTGACCTGCTTCTGCGGTATGATGATCTGGGTCGAGAGCGCGTCCTTGGTGTTGGGGATCGGATGGTCCATCAGACAGATGCAGCGCACCACCTGGCCCGACTGCAACGGACAAGACACCCAAGCCCCGCTCAGACGGACGGACGGACGGATGGACGGACGGACGGACGGACGGACGGTCGGCAGCGCGCGCCGAGCGGCCGCTCCTCAGCTCGCTGGCTGGGGCGCAGGTGGCAGGCAGCGGCCAGCGCGGGAGCTGACACGTGACTTCCCAGGGACGGCTAGTGCCGGCAGAATAAGCAGCATCCACACGGACAAAGGAACAGCGAACTTAATCAATCGCCTCAGGGAACAGCGTTTAGCTCAGTAGCCTGCATGAGACCCGCCATTTTCTTCGTGCGGTAAGGCGGTAGACGCCGACGCCATCAACAAGGACCTCAAACGATAATGAGCCAATGAGGTTCAAGAAAAGGATGAGCATCTTTGCACAAACTTGTGACCAACTCATCATTACGTCACGTGTCCATGTCATGCCCTCCACTGCACCTATTGAGTGCCTCCCGCCAGTTCTCACCCGCTGCTTTCCATCGCCTGACATCATCTGGCACAGCAGCCGGCCCGCGATGCAGTGTGAGGAGGCTAGCCTCAGACGGAACGACCTGTCCATACGAGCCGTCCAGCCGGCGCGGGTTGAGGTTCGGTGCACCAGCGACAGATCTGTGACCTAGCGCTGATCTTATATGTAATCTGCTGACCTTGATGACTCCATCCGTCACCCGGTCTGACCTCAGTGAGCCGATGCTGACCTTGGTGACGCGGTCGGGCACGTAGCTGGGGTCGCAGTAGACCTGTTTGCAGCGGGCCACCTCGGAGCCGGAGCGGACGCCGACGGCGCGGCCGTCCTCCACCACGATCTCGTCCACTGGCTTGTCCAGCATGTACGTGCCGCCATAGATGGCCGCCAGCCTGACGGTCGCGATCGCTTCACGTCAGACAGGGAGCGGCGGAGCCAGGCGACCAGGTCGGGAACGGCGCAGTCAGGCGGCCAGACCGGGAGCGGCGCAGCCAGGCGGCCAGACCGGGAGCGGCGCAGCCAGGTGGTCAAACAAGAGGCCGGCACGCTGCCGACTGACCGGCGACGGCTGGGGTGGGCTGCATGACCCCCACAAATCGCGGCGACACTTGGGAAGCGTGATACTGCCGACGGCCCGCCAAACAATGTTATGACGGTTCGACTTCCGCACGTTGGGATCACATAGGGCACCAGCATCCTGTCCGGACCGGCAGCATCGACTCGGGGCGGGGCGGACTGACTCACCTGGCGAAGCCCTGTGGCAGCTCGCCCAGCCCGTACATGGGGTACAGGTAGGGCGACTTGCCGTAGCGGGCCAGAGACTCGCTGTAGAGTCGGATCCGCGCGATGGTGGTGCCGCAAGGCTGGCCGATGTAGTCGTCATCTCTGTAACGAACAGCCGTCAGTCGCCCGCTGTCCCGAGCCGTCACCGCGGCCGCCGATGCGCCGACATCAGCAGGTACTAATCAAAGGCGTCGCCAGCGCCGCCGGGACGCGCTAGCCGGTACGCTTGTTTTCGATGCAGACCATCTCATTCCGCTGATCAGGCTGCGACTACGCGCTGTGCGGGGAGATTGGGAGGGGGAGGGGCAGTAGGCAGCGCCTCCGCGCGGGTCCAGACGACTGAGCCGGGCCGGGCACGTACGCGGCGAACATGACACGTCAGATGACCGACACGCAGCATGGCTGGTTTTCATACACGTGGCGCCTCCTCACGACAGCGGCGTCATACGTTAGCTGACGCGGGCCCGGGTCGACACAAGTGATGACATCCCACGTGAGACGGCGACCATAGAATAAGCTTGAGAGCGCTTACGCTCGTGGATTACCCCCCGAATACCGAGCTGGGACAAACTCCATCCATTTCCGGCCCCAATCCGTAGAGCAGGGGGGACTCGTCCCCGGCTGCTGAAAACGAGCAGTGGCTAATTCATGAGTGAGGGCTGAGGCGCGCAAGCCGCGTTCCGCACCCCGGCAGCACGAGACCGTCGACGCGCGGCGACGCTCGTACCTGTGCAGCGCCAGCGCGTGGCCAGTGAAGTCGATCGTGTTCTTGTCAACGCCAAACTTCTCGAACACGGCGCTCATAGGCGACGTCTTCGGATCGAGTCCCTTCCAGGTGTTGGGGTCGTCCTCCTTGAAGTCCTGGATGTAGGCCAGCAGATTCTTGAAGCGCCGTTTTTCGAACAAGCCCATGAGGTCAGAACTGAGCGCCTCCCGCTCGTCGGCTGGCACCTGGGACCCAGGTCGCCGTTACGGCATTTGCCACAGTGGATTTTACACCAGGTGCCATATGCACCCAACGCCACTTTTGGGTCATCCGACTGAATGAAGGAAAGCACGCGAGGTGGATCTTGATTGCCCAAGCACACATGGCAAAACAACGGCGGCGCCCCCCCCCCCCCCCCCTAAGAATGTACCAACATGATGAAACACCTCAAGACCACAGGCCGCGAGACACCGCAGCGGTGTTTCGCCGGGGCAGCACCGGGTCTACGCCGCGCTGACGGTGGCCGCTGGCTGCAGGGATACCATTGTAGTGTCACGCCATCGCCCGCACAGTGGCACCACGCTTTCTGCCAGCCAGAGGGCTGTTCAGAGGGAGCTCCGAATCACGTGATCCCGCTGGGCTCCGGATCCCCCTGGCGCGCGTCAGGCAACAAGCCTAAGGCGCCAGTCAGCCGGCGGCGCCGAGCACCTTGGAGATCTTGGCGCCCTTGTAGACATAGCTGCCCTCGACCGACTTGAACTCGAGGTAGCGCGTGACGCCCGTGTGGATCAGGAGCTTCACCAGCTGGCCGTTCGCCATCAGAAACTTGGGGACCAGATCCACGTTCCAGTCCCTGGAGACAAAACGATAACGCATGGGGAAAAAACAGCACACGACTAATCCCCGTTTCAATGATCGCTTCACACTCGGTGGCTTACTAATGCCGCGTTTGCCTGGTGTGCAGCCTTCGACGGAGACAGTGGGGCAATGGGCAACTGGCCAATCCTGATCACGGCAGATTGGGTTTTTGTTCTGATTGCGGGTCATACTACAGCTTTCTCGAAGCCATGCAATAACTCCTACGTGCCTTCGCGACCAGCTGCCTATTCCCCGCCTGGTTCGCGAGGGGTCGACTTCCACATAACGCCACGACACCACACCGACAACTGAACTGACGGGAGCACAACGCGGTATATACACGAGACGTGCTCCTTTTTGGTAACCACGGACAGCTGCAGCAAAGCTTGGTTCCCGAATAAGCTAGCACCAGATGCGTGCATTGATCAAGGAAAGACTCGCTGCGGTGCCACTGGGTCACGAATACGCACAAGTGTTCGCCAGCACCCCAGCCGAAGGTCTCGCTTGTTACCGACGGAAAATCGGTGCGGAATGTAAAACGCCACGGTAAACAGCGCTAGCCGGGCAGAAAGGCCGCAGACGGCGCCGGCGGCCCCGGCCGGTGCGGTGGGAGTGTCCTGATCACGTGACCGCAGCAGTGACGGCGAGCGGCGGTGCGAGACGTGGCCCGGGCGGCAGCTGGCGCCGCGCGTGTCCGTGTGGGTCGACATCAGACCAGCGGTCACCGAGCTGCCGTCCTAGGCAGCGCCCCAGTGCAAAACAGAACCGGGCGTGGTTGGAAAGCCTGTGGCTGGTCACTGCAGGGCCTGGTCCGATATTTTTCGGCCATTCAGCATAACCAAACCCCACTGCAGAGCTTGCGACGTCCTCTCAGTGACGTCCGTGTACTGCATGACGACAACGCCACCGGCGGAACACAGCAGTCCTTCGCTCTAAGCAGCACGTCTCTACACCAAACGTGCCCCTCTTCTTCGTTCACATGGTTAACCGTTAGATAATGCGAGTCTACCCCCTGCCAACCGTCCATGACCCCGGTTACTCTCCATTTCCAACGCGCGAAACCCTCTTACAAGGGCATCCGTCTGATCTGTGCGGGCCAAGTCCTCCCACCTTCCATGTCCGTCTGAGCTGTGCGGGCCAGGTCCTCGCACCTTCCATGTCCGTCTGAGCTGTGCGGGCCAGGTCCTCTCACCTGTCATGTCCGTCTGACCCACCCGGGCCAGGTCCTCTCACCTACCATGTCCGTCTGACCCACCCGGGCCAGGTCCTCTTACCTGCCATGTCCGTATGACCCACCCGGGCCAGGTCCTCCCACCTGCCATGTCCATCTGACTCACCAGGGCCAGGTCCCCTCACCTGCCGAATCCGTTTGCCCTGCCTGGGCAGGGCCCTATTCCCTCACCTGCCGCGACCGTACGACTCATCCGGCTTGGGCAGGCCGAACTTGTCAAACATCTCCTCCAGCGGGGTGATGGAGGCTGACTCGGCGCCATAGTACTTGTTGCGGTCGATGTGCAGCACCTTCTTGCCCGAGACGGAGAGTAGGCCTGACAGGATGCACTCCTGTAGGATGTGGCCGCCGCGTCAGGCCTCGTGCAGCGTTCGCCGATCGTCCGATCAGCTCAGGGCAACGCTGGCATCTAAGCTGACAGACACCCAGCAGCCTCAATACCTAAGTGGTCCAACATTCCGCCAATCGGGTGGTAAGGTGCGGAATGACGACATGTTTCCTTCTGTCGCAGCCCCGGCCCCGGGCTCCCTATCTGTTACTCCTCCCCTTGCTTATGATCGCCAATCAGCACCGAACCGGGCGCCTGGGGCTAGGCCAATCGGCCGGGCCGGTCATATATCAGCGTTCGGCGTGGTCCTGAAATTGTTCCTACTTGGGTGTGGGGATGATGTCACAATCCACTAGGGGGTGGAAAGGGATATCATTGCTGGCATGTGCAACGCCACAAAAATGGGTCGCAACATAAAACATTTGACTGCTTACTTCTGTTCTCCATCCCATCCTCTCTTTTAGGTCCCGATCACCGCATGCCGGTTTGGTATCCTAACCGAGTACAGGCATTTCCTAATTCTAGACACCCTCAGCATTCACTGTCCACTGAAGACTATATTTCATTGTGTGACTGTTACTCGTGATCATAACTCATGTTTACATTGTTTGAAATGGTAGAAAATACATGTCAGGTGCGCGTGATCTTTAAAAGTTTTTCTCAGTCTAGACATAAAGAATAAATGACACACCGGCACAGTCCCGTGCACGGTGTCCCGGTCCCGGCACGATCACGGCTCAGCAGGCTAATTTTTTACCAGCATATCGAGCTGGGGAAACTGCGTCTACAAACTGGTTTTCTCATTCATGATATGCACAACGAGCAAGATGCATCCACTGGGCGTCTCTCGACGCACAACAAACCCTGAACTCATGGCGAATGTACCGCACTGTGGCATACATCCCGCACTTGGGCCGTGTCAAGATTAAAACTGCCCGATCACAACTCAGCAAACTCAGGAAAAAATGGGAAACCGAATGAACCAAAACCGTGCCAAAAATTCAGGCACAATTAACCTGATGATTTTTGGGAGGCGCATCCCTACCAACGATAAAGTAGTGACAAAGAAGCACCACGCGAGCCGTCAGTGTCAGCAGGCTATTGTCAGACGCCAGCAGTCTATAAATATCTGATCTGGTTCAGCGCGTTGGTGGGATTCTGCTACCGTCTTCGGGTATCTGTCATTGTTTGGCGAACGGCAGCACACTTTGGGCAGAACTGAGAACCACGTAACTCTCACCTTGATTCGCGCATTTCTAATAGCACGGACTAATGAAGCGATACGACCGCTATCGTTTTCAAACTAAAAAACAGGGAGCTTTGCGGAAAAGGTACGGCACATTGGCATGTACGGGATCTCACGATTGCAATAAGTCTTATGTGGATAGGTTGAGAATAGGCCCCGATAATCCAGGTCAAAGGTCAAGTTTTGGTATAGTTACAATTTCTTTGGCTTTACATGCCCATATGTATAGGACCATGCTCGTCCTTATCGTCTAGTTCTGAGCACAACAGTATGTTTTTTATATACTTGTGAGCATATGCGGTCCGCGACATCGTCGGATGCTGGCCGCCGCCCACCACGGCCGTGAACCGCTGTGCAGCGTTCTTTAAAAAAGACATTGTAACTAAAAAAAACAAAACATAAATGCAAAGGGCACGTTTTTGGTGTCAAAACACGCACAAAAGATGCCCCAAGACGACTGAGAATTTCGGCGCAATTGCACAATGTACCGGAGATGTGCACCAAGAAAAACCAAGAGGCACGCATGCCCCCCCCCCCCCTTAATAACATGTTCACGCATTAAAAAAATAGTTCAGTAAAAAAAAAGTCACGCGATAACCCATTATTTCTACTTCCTCGGACAACCATGTGGTGAACACGTCTTATTTCATCGACAGTTCTGTGCCGCCCCCACCACCTCCCCAGGCCTGGCATAAAAGGGAATGCAAATATTGACGAGACCTTTCTTCAGACCAGTTACTTAAGAAAACTTCCTCATCGATAGAGCATTTGAGAAAAGTGTTGCTCCGAGCCTGGTCCATTGGTGAAAATATACATTGGTGTGACTTCTTAGGGGAGAAGGGAGGAGGTGAGTGCACTGGGGGTGCCGCTTCACTGCTACAGTCAGGCTTAGATCACGCTAAATTAGTTGGGCACTTTTACATCAATCTCGAACAATTAATAAAGAGTGACTTGGCAATCCTGCTACCAAAATCATCAAAATGATTATTAGGTTTGGATGCACATTATCAAATTGCAGGTGGCATGATGTGATGTGTTTTAATTGAGCCAGCGCACTTCATTTTAAGTAGGTACACTAACATATATCGTACTGGCCTCCAAGTTTGCCCCTATTGCCCCATGTAGGGCCAGTGAAGATACAGAACACATACACCTAGAACTATGAGTGCAACCAATGGGAGGATATGTCGCGTAATTGTCATGAAATTGGAATTTGCTTGTTCGGGGAATGCACATATTTCATAGTTTTCTCGCAGAAAATACTATTTTTGTCAGGTTGCACCCATCAGATTCTAGCAGTTAACATCCCCAATCACGATGTTCTCACTTCCATCGCAGATACATGGTTACTAAGACCATATGAAGCGATACAAAAAGCGTTTTCCATGGTCACAGTGGCTATCCGACATCTATGGCAAGGCTTTCCTTATTTGGCATCAGTATAAACATACGGAAAATCCAGCGATGTCATTCAGAAACCTTCCACTACAGGCCCTCAGGTGCGATAACAAACAGCAACACAGTAACGTAAATAGCCACTGGGCGCCTGTCTGGGTGCCACACCCACGCGCCGCGACTCAGGTATCAGACAGGTGAATGGAGGTGGGGCACAAACAAAAGTATTACCTTGCATCTCCTCCCCACCTTCCCTGATGACCAATCGCAGTCATTGTGGAAACAGCTCATGAAGTTCGTGCAGCAAAAAAAATCACCCGCACATTCGGATTCCAAATGGGGATGCTGAAATAGAACAGTGCTCCACATAGGGGCCAATATATCATAGGTCCTTGAACGGAAATCAAATATTTTAAGTTCAAAATGTTGTGCAGCATGACGCAGTCTCAAATTGAATTTCTAGGCGAAAATTAAAAGTGTGGGCATTATCAAATTTACAGTGGGCATCGGCATCCGTTGGAGACAGTGCGTTTACTACTCGGATTCTTCTGCAAGATGTCCATGGAAAAGAAACGAACGTGGCCGTAAACCGCCGCTCAAGTAGTTTAACGTGCCGGGAGTAATTATTTTCGTACTTAGGTATGCCCTGGAAGACGAAAACTCCCAACGGAAGTAACTGATATTAATTGTCTAGTTGGAACAGTCCTGGACAAATGATGATAAAGGTTTGACACCATGAAAAAATCGTAATTTTGAACCATTTCATGACTGAAAAATAGAGGCGCCTGCAATTTGAGGACAAAACTTCAAAATTTCCGAAAGCCGTGATGCAAGGCACAAGGCCAGTTTTCTAAATAAGAAAACCTAAGGAGGGGTGAAGTGTGCGTTTTCGTCATTATTCTGTCCCTCATTTTTGGTGGAGAGTCGATATTCCAGCCAAAAGGAATGTTTGATGAACATTTGAACAAACATGAACAAAAAATGAACATTTGAAGATATTGAGGAAAGCATTACATATGATGAAATGAGCTCACTTACCACTATCGGTATACTTTTACGTGGAAAGGACTGCTATGGACAACACAACTTCTCTTTTTAGTAAATATGCCACTCAAAACGTCATTGAAACGTCAGCGTACCTCGCATATTGACTGAGAGCCGATCGACGGCCATTATATCTGGAAATCAAGTTCAACAATGCCAGATATGAACAACTCGACAATCATACTTTTAACCTTGATCACCACAGGAACAATGGCATGCCAATATTTGAATGTCATTAGGACGCCACGGATGTCCAAGCGACCTTCAAATGGTCTGTACGAGGTGTCTCCACATCTTCGTGGTCGTATATGGTAGAAACTAGAGTTGTAGGTCTTGAGAAGGGCAGGGCTGTCAACTACCTCGTATGATTTTCAAAACAGCTAGTTCGGTTCAAAACCCCACACAAATGTGGAACACTTCCTTGAATCTGAAAGCAATCTGGCAGCATCATCTCGTTAGCGTTACAATTGCCATGCACTGAAGTCAAATACACGCTGTTCATAACCCATCGGAAGTGACTCCAGGTCCGTTAAGTTGAAAAAAGGTGCCTTGCATCAATGCATCAAAAACAAACTTCTGAGGACAGACTTATCTGAAGGTCGGGGAAGGCCGAGAGGTGGACAGGAATCGTGCGAATAGTGGGGTTTTCATCGTGCAAATCGTGTCATCGTGTCATCACTGGGTTTTACATAATTAAGACAGTGGTGACATATCATTGATCATAGCAGCTGACATGAACGAAGCCTTCGAAAGCGCCGACCACGGCGTTCGTGGTATAAGGGCTGCCTCGCCGGACAGAGTCAGGTTATCAGAGGTGTAAGTGCGACCCCCCTCTCCCCCCTACCCGTCACACATGGCGTACCATGGGGATCGATAGCCGGACCGGTCCTGTTCAGTCGTCTGACCAGCGACTTGCCGTGCTATCAGCCCAGCCGTCGAGTCATTATGTATCAGTGTTGGAAAACTTGACGTTTCCTGGTATAAGGTATACCAGATTTTGTACTCCAGGATTGTGACTAGGTAAAATGAAATATTTTGTACTCCATCAGATGTAACAAACAGCTTTTGCAAAACCCATTTTACCTCTTTGTGTCAGGACAAAATAGAACCATAAGGTGCAACAGCTCGAGACTTGCTGCTTCCATCAGGAGCCATGTATTGATATTTCCAAGAGCAAAAATCTTGCACCCACCAGATTAAGATGTCCAATAGCAAGCCGCCTGTGTTGCCACCTAGGTATATTATTAACCATGTGTGGAGATGTGAAAAATAAAGTGTGTGAATGTTGAATGGAATCACCTTTGAACAATACTGGGAAATGACAAACGAGTACCAGAATCATAGGTCTGTAGGTCTGGTCTGTAGATTAGCAAAGTTCTTACTTCCTATGCCCTATGCTGACCAACTCAAACTTGAACATAACCTACCACTGACGACAAACCGCATTAATTGCCAAGGATGAAACGAACAGTCATAGAAAACCACACGCCCAATCACCTACCACAGGCGGACGCCTACTCACGCAACACCACTGTGGTATGACAATGTAAATACGAGAATCACTCGCAATTCCGCGTCGGAAACGTCTCAACTATTCAGCGGCTTGCGCCCACCTACCAGCTCAGGTTGGAGGTTGAACATAGCAAAACTCTCCAATTGCTTTTAATGACTTGCCTCCTTGTGACTGATTTGTCAAGAGCATAAATATTCTGCTCGCACCCATGCCTTGAACAGATTTGCAAACCTTTGGAGGGCAGCTGTATAGAGATGGGCACCACGATCCTGAAGACGGACTTATTTGTACTCATCCAGAACCACCATGTGGTTGGATTTTTGGCCACTTCCTGGTATCCGGAGTAAAAAAAAATGTTACCGCACTCGCGGATTTCAACCAAGTTCAATTTCTCACTTAAGGGTGTGAAATTAAAGCTGGTAATTCAGGCTTTACAAAAATATCCTTTAAAGTCAAAAAATGTTGCTATAAATAGCCAAAAAACTGTTCAGAGACAGACAACTCGCTCAAGCAAAAACACCAGGATGCCAGAGTAACATGAACCCATAACTTTGACCTGACAAATTAAGGAGAAAGGGTTTATTAGGACAAAGACATCAATAAATTGCAACATAAATTATCATGTTTTGCAATGATATCAGTTAAAGCGCATCAAAATATATTAATACTCTGCATTAGCCGCTGGAGTCAGTGGAGTGACTAACTCTGATCCCTTTTGACCGGCCCGCACGGGTCTGTCAGGCATTGTACTTTCGCTGGCTCGGTAAATCGATTAAGAGTGCTGCCTGTATCTATTGTTCGGATGGGACGTGCAGGGCCTCGTGTGTTAACTGGGAGTTGAAAGGTGGAGTGCATGAGTGCTTAGCTGTTTTTAAAACCAGTTAGCTGGTGGAGCGTGAGTAGCATGACCGTGGTGGAGCGTGAGTAGCGTGATCATGGTGGAACATGAGTAGGTGGCCATCTGTGGCATGTTCATTTGCATTTTTTGTGTACCACTTTTCTCTAGCTGTGCAGTATCATACCCACCCCCCACTTCGGAGGGTGTGTAAGCCCCATGTGTAGCCACCCTCCATTTTGGAGAGTGTATAGGCCTGATGCATAATTTCTCTCCATTTTGGAGGGTGTATGCACAGATCCTCTCATAAATTGCAAACCCATGTATATGCACATGTGTTGCATAATACTGGGTATGAGACTGCATCATTTCAGTGTGTCATGTTTAATACTGATGTTTCCTTTCATTTAAAATATTTTTACATGAATTGCTGCATATTACAAGTGGCACTTTTGTTGAGTACCATCCATCATACTGTTATCTCTCAAAGATGAGCTAAAAAAAAAACTGTAATGACCTGCAGCACTTGGATAATTTTGTACTTCACTATAGAAAATTTGTACTCTGCTACCAGGATTTTTTTTTGAAATTTCCAACACTGATTCCCAACACTGGCCAATTATGCCACAAATATGGTGTACTGCCAGAGTAAACAGGGGTGTCAGATAAGTCATGTCCCTGGTTCTGCCCAAAACTGACAATGAACAGATTCTCTCACAAGGCTAGGACTTTGGATCCATACCTAGTCCACACATGGTATTCTAAATACAGCTGCCTATAGATTTCATTGAATCCATCCTTGGTCCCAAAACAAGATTTTTGCTGCTGTGCAGTGAGCACAGCATAAAGGTGCTCTCTGAACCTTGGTGGACATGACATTATAGCAAGAACAAAATTTGTCTGGAACTGGCTACATTGTACTACTACTTAGCAGCACAGTATCCATAAAAGAAACTAAAGATCATGCTTGCATCATATTACCTACAATTTGAAATGATCATGACTTCCCCAAAAGTAACAGACTACTGACAAGAGTGAAACAAAAAAGTCTATATATAGCATGACAAATAAAGCTGCGTGGCTGATACTGAACACTGATAGAACTAGCTAACTACACACACTAAATTGTAACAATGTCTTAAGGGTATCAGTTAAGGGCATCAGTTAAGCAACAGAAAGTACTGACAGAGTGAAACAAAAAAGCATATATATATATACATATATATATATATATATATATATATATATATATATATATATATATATACACATATAACATGACAGATAAAGCTGCATGGCTGATACTGAACATTGACAGAACCAGCCAAATACAGAGAACAAATTGTAACAATGTTTTAAGGTTATCAGTTAGATTTCAGAAGTGTTAAAGCTAATCAATCCAGTGCATTACTGATCCTGCTCTGCCAGGCAATGCTAATTTGCAAAGCTGATAAGAAATATTGATTGAAGTTTGCTGAATCTATGCTATCACCCATTTGGAGGCCCTTGCATTTACTGTAAATTCCTATGCAGATTTTGGAATTGGTCATCCTTTTCAATCCATGTAGAATACTTTTCATACATCAGTACAGAATAAGTTATGAGTGGCAGGGGAGGGAGCAGGGTGGAAACAGGAAATATTTACTTCAGTAAAACGGCCCGGGGTAAAAGATGTCCGCAATCATTTACACAATCAAATGTTAGTTTTGCCTCAGTCCTTTTTACTCTATGCTTCAATGCCATCACAACACAACCATCACAGCCAGGTACAGGTAGGCAAACAAGATATAGACCTGCTGCATTCACACTTCCTTTCTCAAGCATGTTCATGAGTATTGATATATAAGCAACCAAATAAATTATACAGCAGTTTTTAAAATTCTGAAATTTACCTTCAATTCCAAAATTAAGAGCTAAAGTCATTCTAAAACATCAAAATCTACCCTGATCCAGCCAATTCCAACAACTGGGCACACAAGTACTTCAAACGCTGAACTACATGACACAATGCATCAGACATAACAAAGTGCACAAGCGAACGAAAATCAAGCAAAATTCATGCGTCACCAAACACCAGACATATGTTCAATTTAAAACAAATACGGAGTGCACGACGTGCAATCTTTTTAGCATGATCAACCATAAAGTTCCCTGCCGAACAGAAGGCATATTAGGCGCATCAAGCGGCGCCAATGGAAAGGATGCTTGTCGTATCACATACCTTGAGACCCGTTCCCAAAACAATCGCGTCATACTCTTCATCCATGATTACTAAATCTGACAGTAAACACTCAGAAAATATTGTCCCAGCCCACCTCTCTCCTGACTAACCACCGCAGCCGCCCCTCCCCCGTCAACAGATTTCTTGTGTTGAAAAAATGTGATTCACTGCCTCATATGAAACTAGCATTTTTCTGTAAACTTCAGGCGCTCAGAGTAAATTCATCTGCATCAGAATGAGTCCAGTATTTGAAAAATCCAGTGAAAAAAAATGATTGCTCCGGTTCAACATCACAAGATGAATATTCCTCTTAATATCGCCTTAAACTACCTTACCAAGCTTCCAAGGTCATAGCCAGGGCAATAGAACATTGGACGCGTGTAAATCGACTCACGAGTGCATCTACAAAGAACAGTTCCTCTGCTTAAATCCACTACGAAGTGGATTTACACAGAATGCCACTCCTTTGTAAATCGACTCAGATCTGAGTTGATCTACACATAAACGCACTGTTGGGTAAATCCAGTTGTGAGTAGATCTACACAAGTGTGGCTTCAGGAGCAAATCGACCCAGATCTGAGTGGATTTACACAGGACCGCCATTCTGTGTATATACACTCCGGAGTGGATTTAAGCAGAGAAGGTGTTCTGTGTAGATCCACTCATGACGTGATATACACAGAAGCGCCATTCTGTGTAATTCCACTCGTGAGTGGATTTAAGCAGAGAAGGTATTCTGTGTAGATTCACTCATGAAGTGATATACACAGAAGCGCCATCCTGTGTAATTCCACTCGCGAGTGGATTTAAGCAGAGAAGGTGTCTGTGTAGATCCACTCATGACGTGATATACACAGAAGCCCCATTCTGTGCAATGCCACCCGCGAGTGGATTTAAGCAGAGAAGGTGTTCTGTGTAGATGCATTCATGATGGATACACACACCTGTGAATTACATCGCGATGTGATCTGCGCAGGCGACAGAGCGTGTTCAACGCAGCGAACTGGCGAACTGATCTATGACTTACCGAATAAGGGAAAGGTGCGATTTCAGCAATCAATCAAACGCACAAAAGCTGAAAATATGCATTTGCCCATGCATAGCTTATTTTTGCATCACTGAAGCTACATATCTGCGTACTTTATTGAGAACATACCGTCCAGAGATGCGAATGTGTACACACACACACATATATATATATATATATATATATATATATATATATATATATATATATATATAGTATGCGTGCGTTTGTGCGTGTACATGTGTATGTACCAGGAAAGGTAGATGCTGAACTTGTCATATTGCTTACAAGGCACGCCATGCAGCATCGCATGCTTGTCACCCGGTGGTTTGCAGTGTGCGGCTTTTATCCAGTCTTGGTAACGGTTGACGGGTAAGGGGTGCGGAGGGCTCCCAAATAAGGGAGCTCCTTGATAAATAAGGAGGGCTCCTTGATAATGAAACGCCCCCCCCCCCCCATCCCCCATACACTCAAATTCGTCGGCTTTGGCCGATAGATCTCGACCGGCATGCTTTTGTGCGTGTTTTATGCATTTCTAACTTTCTTCATTGGGGCCAAAAGCCATGAAACGTACTGGCAAGCAATTTGCGGTCTGTATTTTATTGCAGGCAATAATTAACAGTAGGGAGGTGATGTTAGATGACATACAAAATAACGCATCAGTGTTATTCCTTTTAAATTGCTAAGCTGGTTCTATCCAAAGGGATAGACCTCAGAGCTTTGCCAAGTTTTTGTTCTGAGCTCTACAGAGACATTCGTGACCCCGTGCACTTTGAGTGTAGATGGAAATGGGGTCAGCAATTTTTTCACCTAGGCTAACTTATGTTCGTCTGGGGATGTTAAACGTTCTGTTAGAATTTATTAGTGATGCAACTTATGTAACAGTGGTTAGGATACGCACCTCAAGTCTTAGAAGCCTAATCTAATGCTATGATGACATCTCCTCATGCAGTAATGCATCCTCGCTCAGAGTTTCAATGCGGCAAGTGTATCCTCGATTTCAGAGGTCAAGTCAGGTCACTTCCGATGAACCTAAGGTCTTGTAATTAGCATCTGTAATAGTACCGAGCATTCAAAAGGCAATGGTAAGAAATGGCCGACCCTACCCATAATATTTTCGAATGGGAGTACTTGAAGTCATCTTTGGAAAAACAGACTTAATTTAAGTAGCGCTCCCCTGGGCTGGAAAATCGCAATGATTGAGCGTTGAATAACGGGGTAGGTAAAATGGAGAAATGCATGGAAGACTTCGTTAAGTCCTCACTAAAAAACAAAAAAAAAACAAATTGGAACCGAAATCGGTAAACCCAAACTTGGGCCGTACCTACCTATGCCTATGCAACCTACATTCTGAATACAATTCGGTACCTTCACTGAACCTAGTACTGTGAAGTAACCCAACTGAAGCTACCCAACTGATTCACACGCGGTACCAATATGGGTGTGTTTTACATCCAGACCAGTCTTTCGCCTGTAAATTTGAAGTCGGGACTACTTAACTTGGGGCTAGCTGAAAACCACGAAGTTCACTTTTGCGCAACGCTATGGGAAACGTTTTTTAGGTTTCGGACACTTGCAGACGTCTGTGCCGAAAGAACCTCACGGTTAAAGACAGACATTGGCGGTACCTAATGAGGGTACCGCCAATAATGAAATGCGAAAAATATTCTCTTCGCTCTTCTATTTTCTACCTTCGGCTCTTCACAAATACGTCTTCCGTGAAATCGTTAGCATTTTCGTACGCACATCAGCTTTGCCTGTTTTGTCAGACACACGAAAAAGTTGTGTGCATGCAGCTGTCGTCCAACCTCGGTACCCATAATCTTTTAGCTACGCTACAGTACGCGTGCAGATCTTGTCACTCAACCGAAAATGCCCTGGACGATGCCGTTGAGTGAGCTGTACTCGGATTGGGGTTACTCGGATAAGATTGGGGTATTGGGGTTACTCGGATAAGATTGGGGTATTGGGGTACTCGGATAAGATTGGGGTATTGGGGTACTCGGATAAGATTGGGGTATTGGGGTACTTGGATAAGCACGTCGTGGCCGTCAGGTTCGTAAACTTCAGCTGTGCCTTTAATTGTATCGACCATGGCGTAGTTCTGATAAAGCTGCAATGATATTGTATTGATCCGAATTGGCTTAGGAGTTACCTTGCCGGTCAAAGGTGGATGGTGAGAAGCGGAATCTTTCTCTTCTGTCGATTTACGGTGTCCCTCAGTGATCCTTGGTTGACCCCACCCCCTTCAGTATTTTTACGAATGAATCTCAATCTTACCTCCTTCACGAATATCTAGTATTCTGTGCCGACCACACCCAACTGCTAGACTCTACACATCCAGACCAACCATGCGTTTTGAAATCATGACAGGAGGAAACCATTCAAGTGGTTAATTCCTACTTCACATCTAACTCTCTTGAAATGAAGCCAACCAAAAGAGCTCTTCTTCCCGGCACTCCACAATCCTGGAAGGAAACCTTATATTTTCACCCGGGCAGTGCGTGACACCAATTGAGCCCTTTGTCGCCCATGAAGGTGCTGGGGGTCCTATTGCAGGTACCTTTTCTTGGGAGATGCTCGCATCCTATGTCAAAATGCGCAGCCCCATCCTTTTCCGCTTGCATAAAATCCTCCACAACCAACCATATTGGCTGTTTGTGACGAATCGCAATGAACAAACTCCACCACAATCCAATCACAATCAACAGATTCGTCATCCGAGGCTCGTAAATCTATCATCCAGTCCCATGTTCTCATCTTCCGTACTGCCTCTCGGTCTGGGGTGTGGCTGCAGCGCGTCACCTAAATAGAGTGCAAGGGATGATTACCCGTGGGGCCAAGATCGTCACCGGTGCTCTTCAGCAAGATCCAATGGCGGCGACTGTTCAAGCGCTGGGCTGGCGCGGTGACCTAGTCATCCCCCGTGGCATCCTCGCTGTGTTCAGGGCCCTTAATGACTCGTGGGTTCTGTTGGAGATTCGGTCCTTGTTCCACCACGCGTACAACTTTACGCCAGCGTGTCACCCGCGCGGCAACGATGGGCGCCATGGGTCTGCCAGCCCTCATCTACCGACAGCACGTAGGTCTTCTAGTATTTACGCGGCCTCATTCCGCTGCCGCCGACCACCACCACCTCTTACACTAACAATGTGCTTTGCGTCGGTCTGGGCGATGTAGATTGCCCTGTTGTGTAATCATTGCTTGTTTGCCGCTTCGTGACATATTCTGACGGCTTAAATTTTGATACATAATTTATTATTGGCCAAGCTGCTAGAACGAAGGAACGATTGATAACGTGCGAATCTAGTCGCGCCGTTTTTTTTATATTGCACCCATACTACTGTTGCAATTGTACCGAGTCAAACAACCCAGCTGTCGGAATAATTTGTGATTGGAATGAGCGTGAACATGACCCAGCCACGCATTCGCAATGAGAGGTGTCATTGGAGCTGCCAGAGGTCTTACGCAAACCGATGAAACTCACAAGACATTTGTTGGGCTTCATCAGACGTATTTGTGGATACGTGGGATTTTCACAACACGCTATAGTCACTTCAGCAGAGTTGGTCAGCTTTAAATGTATTTAAGTATTAAGGTCAATGACCTCTCCGGGATAACCACAGTCTTGGAAGGTACACTACATACAGTTCTGGGCAGGCAGCCGTATGGGCTTATCACACATGCATGCCATGGGAAGTAGCAACCATGTCACAACAGCGCAGGTATTTTACCGCATTGGAGCGGCCAGACATGCCACGCTGTCAGGAAGACTTTCTCACATGCCAATAAACCCCGTACACTAACAAAGGTACACCCTGAGTGCTGAGATGCATGGAAATCTACCACTAGGTACAATCATCAACGTTCTTCTTGACTACATTCAAAGCGTGCCAGCACAACCAGTGTCAAAAAACATCATCAATGGCAACCATGGTTGAAAAGCGTTGAACGCACTAAGCAATTATATGACAGCACCACGACATATTGATTAAGTAGCCAAAGCAATGCTCTCAAGTTGGTATTTTTAAAAGCACATTCTCCTTAGCGGTCACTGGTTAACCTAGGGATAGTTTAGTTAAACAAGTAGGGATATCGGGCATGTTCTC